GCGTCGTCTTCTCTTCCTCTCTGGGGACGTGCGGTGAGAGCGGCGCCTCCTGGGGGGTGAACGCTCGCGAGTCCGCTTCCGGTGGTGATGCCTGGCCGGTTGCCCATCGGGTTCCGGCCCTGAACCGCTGGCGCCCCTCCCGGCCTGGTGCATCGAACCGTGCCTTTGAGGGGTGAGGTCGCCGCGCCCAGAAGGGGTTGGGGACATGGGTGGGGTCGGGGGAGTCGAGCCACCTGTGTGAGTATCAGCCGTATGCCCTATGGCTACGCAGATTGATTGATGCCATATGGCGACCGGCTCCGACCCTATGGTCGGAGGCCGAAGAGGCCCTATGGCCGACCTTGTTGCATATGCAACTCGGCAGGGAGTCGTCGACGACCATATGGTCGTCTACGAGTCGGCGAAGGATGGGCATATGCCCTCGACTAGTGGAGGAAGCGGTCGCTCACCCAAGTCGTCTGACGGTGGAGGGGGCTGAGCATCCTCCTCGTCGTCTTCCTCCTCTCGACTTGAAGACTCATCCCGGACCCGATTCTCCTGCTCCGGATCCACCTGCTCATCCCCTTCATCTGGTTGGTTCTCGTCCCGAGCCGCTTCCGCCCCCTGTGTGATGCCGTGGAATGGGGAGCCCGAAGAGTTCGATGCCTCTTCGATTATGTCGGCGAGTTCCTGTCTCGTAAACAGGGCTCTGTAGTCGGGGTGCTGCATGTAGAATCTGATGTCGCCTAGAAGGGTTTGCCGTGCTCTGGCCTTGAGAGCAGCAACCGTGCCGTCTTGGTCGAGCCCCAGGTGTGACGCCAGGCTCTGTAGTTCTTTCTTGCACAGGGATGACAACCGCTTGTTGAACAGCGGCGGTCGCTCGAGCCATGGGGGCATTGTAATTGAATGTAAATAGGATTTTGACTACGAAAAAACGACGAAGGAGGTCGACCCCTCGTCGCCCTCGGAAGCGGAAGCAAGGGAGCCAGCGAGGCAACCTCCTCCGCCCAAGAACTGGCACCACCACTCGTGGCCTCCACTCCGGTGCGCCCACAACGACAAGTACATGCCTCGCTATTTGGGCCCATGCCGCGGCGCAGGCATTGACCATGTTGCTGCCAAAGCACACACAACATCCACGAAGGAACCATGTTTGCAAGCCCGTGCATCACCAAGCCCACCAGTGCTGCCTGCGGCACATTGGATGCACTTGCGGGTGGCGTTGGCACCTGTACACCTGGACACCTGCAGACAAGAGCAAGTGCACACAACAGCACTGCATCCCACCCCATGAAATTGAACTTGAGCGCAGTATGTCTACGCCTGCGCTCCGTTCAACCCCTCTGACGGTGTCTTGTTCCAGACTTGCACCCGTGACTCACCGCCATTCACCTCCCTGCTGCCAACGCCAACTCCGCCACCGCCGACGCCTCGAAGTGGCACATCTGGCACATACAGAACATGTGCGATGCAGGCCAACATTGGGCACATTGCCAAAGCTAGCAACTGCGCCGACACATCAGCAAGGATTGCGTTGTATCAAACACGATCGTCCGTGACTCGTTGGCGCCTACGCATTGACTACACCTACCAACAGGCGCATGAATGACGATGAGCACCCGCGCCAATGTTGGGACCCATGTTGCGGTGCAGGCATCAATGTCCATGTTGCCGCCGAAGCCCACATGACGCCCGCAAGGGAACCACGTTTGCTAGCCCCTGCATCACCAAGCCCACCAGCGCCGCCTGCAGCACATCAGATGTACTCGCAGGTGACTGCACCACTACGTTTATTGGCACACATGCAGACGAGCGAGTGCCAGTGCTGTCCCACCGCATGGAATCAAACTTGAGCGCGGTACGTGTCTACGTCTGTGCTCCGTTCAACCCCTTTGATAGCATCTTTTTTCAGACTTGCGTGCGCAACTTGCATTGTGCACCATCCGCCATCCGATTGCCTCCGCATCAAACAGTCGAGCCTATGCCTTGACAGCCGGTGCATCATCTCTAATTGAACAGGTGCGCAGTAACACCCTATGAGGCAGCACATCTACTCACATATGCCACAGTGCACCCGCTCATCACAGAAATCAGTACAGCTGTTGTGCTTTGTAGCTTTCTGATTATTTGATAAATGCTAGGACTCCGTAGGATGTGTTCGTAATGTATACTACAGGTGATTATGATATTTTATTGATAAGGGGGTATAGAGCATTAATTGTAGGTGTTCCATGGCGGCTCTGCGGGATTTATCGACTCAGCGATGGCTAAATCTAAGGGAAAGAACACTGAGTTGTCCGCATCGAGCCACAGAAGGAAATCCTGAGCTACTAGCATGGCACTTATGTCGTCGGAATTATGATTGTCTGTATCAGCAGTTATTCCTGCACGCTGCAAGGTGCAAGTGGCCACAGATTGGACTTGACTGAAATCAAGCACGGATTCCAACATCTGTTGGAGATTGATTGGGGCAGAATCGGGTATCGCAATGCTGGCTGGACCATGACCGATGGGCTCCAGGGTTATAGGTGTTGATGCCAGGGTGACGTGGCCAGTCGAGGGAGGTTCTGGGGTGGTAGGCAACATTGAGCCAGGGGTGATGTTGTGATCCATTAGTGAAGGTGTAGGAGGTGTTATGCTAGGCATGGTGGCATCCTAAGGCAAACATGCTCCAGACGGCACCCGACACTTGAGCTCATCTATATGGTCCATGTAATCCCCAAAGTAGTATGCTTGTCCCTCTACAAGGTATTCATCCCAGAGCTCTGGGTCACCAAAGAGAAGCTTATTGAGGATGTTGTGATATGAGGAATAATATGCCCTGGTAGTACTGTCTGGGTCATTGGATTGCCGCGAAGGGAACTGGGCATCAATGGCATTCTTCAGACTCAGCTTCTTTGGCCCACGTAGAGCAAAAGAAATATTCTGCATGATAGTCCAGACGTCGCGGAACAGATATCCAGAAGGAAATGAAGGTTTCTTGAGGTGCATGCGGCACGGCCTATGAGTGCGCTGTCGGGCAGAGAAAGATATGGTAATTGGAGTAGTAGTCTCAATTGAAGAGGGTTCGGAAGACTCGACTGAAGAGGGCATGGAAGACTCCAGAACTGATTCATTGGCAGTGAGTGGATTGTGCAGAAGTACATCGCCCTGAGCAACATGGTGTTCAAAAGGTGTCGTAACAGGATCAACCAGAGGGGGAGAAGTAGATGTTGGATGACCAGCAATATTAAGATCCTGGAGAGTATCAGAGACACTCTGGGATGAGGGTGATGCCAAGAGACACTGGAATAGAGAGCCAAGAGAGGATAGTGAAGTGGTTTGCTTATGGCGTTGACCCAGTGTTGCAGTGTTAAGGGCAGATGAAAATGATAAATGTCGCTTAACATGAGGTCGGAAGCTCCTCACAGTGTCCTCCATACCTGTCAGCCTTCGAGTAAGTACGAAGTAGATACAGGCACAGGAAAGCAAATACCTGGGTAATCCACATAGTTTGGAGTGGCTGTTATCGCATCGCTGGGAACAGCACAAATGAGTATGCGGATCTCGTCGTCCCTGAGTTTGTACACCATCTCCGTGAGCTGTATATCCCAGCAGAGTTGACGTATTGTAGATCTGGACCTCGGTTGTTTTTCCCAACCAGCAAAGTAGAGGAGCTTCTTTCGATATTTGCAAATTGGGGTGTGAAATGACAGGATAGGGAAAGAGGTTTACAGCATCTTCACCTAGCTATCAGAAGAGTTGTATGATCAGAGGGATAAATCAATGGCGTAGATTAACAACATTACTCACTGAGTGCTGTAGTTGAATATGGATGGTGATATTAGATTGCTGCTTTGCAGCATCTGCTGTTTGCCGCTGCTGAGCCCAGTTTGACTGGCTGACCTGAATATCAGGCGGGAGATAGCCTGGCATATGTGCATGTAGGTGCATAGGCTGTGAGTATCCTGCTGTGTCACCAAAAGTTGTCATTAAAGCAGAGCCTGTTGACACTGCAGCGGCAGCCGGTGCAGAATCCAAGAGCAACAGAGCACTCGTCAGAGGTGCTGGCCCGATAAGATTGCCACATGGGAGCTTATGCCCCTGAACGGTACACGGCACATGGGTAGGAATAGCCTGATCTCTTGCATGACGTGCAGCACCAATACAACATGCCTTGCACATAGCATGCTTGCACTGAAGATTTTGAGCTGAACTTGTGCATGCTGAGCAAGGCTCACTGCCTGGGTGAGCACACCCTGTAACATGTGATTAGAAGTGCTGTAATCAAAGCGGGTAAATGCAGGACTTACTGCAACTTAACATGGTCTCCTAGCTTCTACGTCGCAGGTGCCCAGGCTCTTACACAACGAGTCCAATCTGAGGGTTAAGTCATGTTAACAACAATGATACATGCATGTTATGCAGCCATAGACGTACCGGATTGAAGCTAATATCGTGATAATGTTGCCTGCTGGAGTGGTGACTCTGCCACGTGGCACAAGTACTGCAAGAAGCCAAGCAATGGGCACAATGAATTGAATAGACGGCACAGATGTATGCACCACAGAGACACGAGCGGCAGTGTAAGTCAAAAGGGCAAATGGCTAGAACATCTGACAGTGAGTTGTCGATGACTGTGGGAATGCACACAACAGCTGTGTGGCACAGCGGTAGATGCGAGGACGTCGGACATTGGGCTTGTTGAACTTTGTATACCGTATATATATGGAAATATCACACGCTCGTTACCTATTATGTATAGATTCTCTCACATGTTCTATTCTTGTGTTCTTCCTTGCGATCTTCTATCTTTCCTGATTGATATTACCGCTTTAGGCACATTCTTTTGTTCCCTTTATGGAAATGCTTCCCTCGAGCTCCCTCACATATACCAGGAGCTCTCCCTCCGCATCTCCTCAGTCTTTTCCCTTATACTTGACTGAGGAGTGAGTCTGCCATGTCCCTTCATGTCCCTTATGTCCTAACGTACTTATGATGCCTCTGTAGTCATATATTAGGTACTACATGCGTAACTCAGTCTTTTCCCTTATACTTGACTGAGGATCATATATTAGGGAATTATCGCTCTTGCCTTCAGATCCAGAAGTTCATCAGGTTATGAGCCCTGAGCTCTCGTAACTCTGAATCTCGATCGACTTTGCGCGCATCTTTGCTGGCTGCAACTTGCCGTCTAGCTTCTTTTCTCGATCGTTCCTATCCCTTCCTAGCCTTGGCTGTGTGACAGCCTGAGGTCTAGTGTGGCTCGT